AGGCCATATGAATAAGAAATTAAACTGATAACTAACTGTACTACTGAACTGCTATTATAAAAGTAAGGTTTTTAGCTTCCATAGCCCATGTCCAATTTGAATACTTACAGTCTGCCAGTTAAAAGTTGTCTTAAAATTTTAGTTGGAAATGGTTTTCTCTCTTGTTTTATTTTAACCTATGTAGATGATGTATTTAGAAGTTAGTAACATCTCTTGTCTTTTTCCCCAGAAAGGCTGGCTTTTTAACAATAGATGAAGGGGTTCCTTAAATGCTATACCATTTGTGCATGCTTTGACATTTCTGGAAAAGTGTGTAAATATAATGGAGTTCTCCATATAACTGAGGGTGCTCAGGCCCAGGTGTTTCTAATGATGATCTGCATGGCTGGAGTTATCCTGGATCATTGAAAATGCTATGTGAGAGCCTTAAAATTATTTGGCTTAATTAAACTTCATAGCTCTTGGTCCTTACTCCCAAAATGTTTTGGACCCTGATAGAAGGGGTGTTATTCTTCTTGTTCTTAAATTATACTGGTTTAACTCCAGTTATGTTATGCTATATGGAATATGCATCCATGTTCCATAAGAATCATGAGTATCAGAATGAAAGAAAATTTGTATGCAGGAAAATAAATTTCCATAGAAGAGGATTTCAGCAGTGATGATGCATGACATTTTCCAGTAAGGAATGAATTAATTAAAGCAAACTCATTTAATTTAGAACCTCTTTCTGAGCTTGAACTATGAGCTAGAGAGTGAAAATGGAGTGGTCTGTTATGGCCAGTCACATTGCCATATTGACAGTTTATTTTAAGTAATTGTGGAAAAATCCTCTGCAAATTAGCAAAATTCTGTTATTTAGCAAGTACTTCATTTTATTAATTCATTACCTTAATTTTAAAAATACCAAAATATTTTACTCAGTTGTGATATAAAGGAAGACGCAACTAATATATAATGTTAACTGTGCTTACTAATATTTGAACGCAGACTTTAAGATTTTTCTAGAGTGATTAAAAGAACACAAGTAGGTTTTATTTGTTTACTTCATTTTTGAAACTGAGACAAATAGAGGAAAGTAAGCAAACTAAAAGTGGTGTGCATTTATGTGTGTATATACACGCGCAATATATGTGAGGAATAAGACATATCAAATGAATTTTGCTCTATTTATTTCTCCCATTCATTACTTCCTTCTTCTTCTTGCTTTTTTTTTTTTTATATAACCATAAACCTGAAATTTGAAATGGAAATTTCTTTCCTTTCCAGGACAGCTTTTTTCATTTTATGCATGCAAACAACTTTTTACATTTTTTGTGCTGACCTGTATGAGGTTTTGACTGAGCACTTGAAATGTTTGTTTTAGCTATAAAGAATAACATCACCTTTATGAAGATGACAGTAGCAAAGCAGGACAGAATGTGAGTTATGCCAAACTGCCTTTACCCAGGTACCATTGCTGAAAGGGGACACTGCAGCAAGAGAAGCTGCTAAAAACTCTTGCCTTTACACTGGGCCACAAACATGCTCTGAAGGAAATGTTCATCTCTTTCTGCAGTATCCACATCCCACTTCATAGTAACTTGCAAACTGCTACAAGTGTGCATAGCCGTTTGGGAATCTGGAGCCTAGGCTGTAAAAGACGTTTGGGACAAGAACCCTTTCCTTGTTTGTGTTTGTACAATATCTATTACAGGTAGGTCTTAATCCATGAGGATTAGGTGTTCAGATGCTGCAAATAATACATAGTAATACATAATAATAACCTAGAAAGCATACATTTAATTATTGAACAGTGAAGATTAGTTTGTAGGGAGAGAGCCTGTTTCCTTTGCTCCAGCAAATGGTTTCATTTAGTCATTGAGCCCTGCTGTACAAGTGATGGAAGCAGAACTATGTTTTTATTCTGAACAATTCAAGAGTATGTATTAGTATTTCACTGCCTCTTGAACTGGAGTCCACTGTGGTGCCATTCAGCAAACATTCTGTACCAATACATATACACAACTGTTAAGGGAGCAGCAGCCGCCTGAGCATTCACACACTGTTCAGGGAGTCGCACACACACCACCCAAGACTTTAACTGCTAGGACCGGAGTCCCTTCACAGTGGGCAGCTCCATTGAGCTGACGGG